GACACGCGGCCTTGTCAGCCAGGGCCAAACGTCATCTGGGCTAGAGTGCACTTAATGTTTTTTTACTGGGCTGGTGATTTCGTCAGACATATAAATGGGAAGAAGTCCAACGGCCAATTGAAGAGCTGTTCAGTACGGGAAATTAACAATGATGTCAAGGGGCATTTATAGGCAGCACGTGTGGTGTCTTATATGGCGGCTTATTTTTTACCAATTTGAGATCAGTGAACGCTCTTTAAGGGCAGTTTTAGCATCAAGACACCGTCAGTTAGCTTTGAAAATCCTCGGGCAAGGAAGTATACAACCAACGTGATGTGTTAATCTGACAGCCTTCTCTGTTCACAGCCTCGATATGTTACTGGTATGCCATTGGTAACAAATGGAAGCAATAGACGCGATAGAGTACGTTTCAGGCTATGTTAAGGAACGCTAAAATATGCCATATGCACATCTAAGGCAAAAATGCAATTTGTAAAACGTGACATGCGGCAAGACAAGAACAAAACACAACGGGCAGTGCATAAAACAGAACAAAACGAAACGAAAACATTCACATGCAGCAAAATTACGGAGGACAAACAGACACACTCGGGTGAGCAATACATCGACAACTCCATAATGCATCGACAACGCACATAAAGCACAGTGAACAAGGCGAGGGCGGGATCAGCACTACAAATGCAAATGCAAGGCAGCCTGGCGACGCAGCTCCAGCCTGGGAACATGCACGGATGGCAGGAGAGGATCTGGCTCGCTGGACGTGGCGATGTGCTGTGCTTTGCGCCCATTGTGTGGAGATTCTTTTGTTGCGGCTGTGTGGCGCGCCAGCTGCGCTAGTGTTGCGGAGCAGCAGCTGAACCAACAGCTGACTGGCAAGACCCGAGTTCCCGCACGCGCCGCGGCGGACCCGTCACACACACATGCTCCTCCAGGTCGAGAAGGGGATCGGCGAGCGCACGCCGGACTCTCTGATCATCTCGCCGAACTTCCTGATCCATGACTCGCAGGCGGCTCGCCGTCCCACGGCGGTCTCCCAACCTGCCGAACTTCCTGACCCTCGCGCGCTCCACCCTCCCCTCCTACGCGCGTCCCACTGCCGAACCTTCTCGACTTCGCCTGCCGCTCTACCCTCCTACGCGGTCCCCAACCATCCCGCACGCAACCGAGTATCGGGGGGCAGCCCGGGTGGCCCGCTGGTATAACAGCTACAGTCGACAGCAATGCGCTTTACCGCCGTTCGGGCGTTCAATACCACGGCTGGTTAAAAGGACACCATGATCCTTTTATGGCAGCTGGTAACTCTCAGGTCGTTGGTTAGACGCCGCAGGCTGCATCGTTGCCAAATGCATTACGGTCATCTATGCCTGGGGCTACTAAGGGCCGCTGATGGCTGCACGCGTCGATGAGCGCATGTGTTGCACGTGTTGCACGAGGCAGACAAAATAACAGCATTTTGTCCCAGGTCACCCCAATTCATCTGTTATCGTGCTGGCCAAGATGATGTAAGTTGCAACGCGGTGTTCAGTTTGGTTCATGTGATCCCGAAAACAACTCAATCGGTCCTTTTTTCCGGAACAAAGTGCTGGCGTAAATGGCAGTGTTACGCTTGATGCAGCGGCGCATGACAAACACGCCCAAACTGGATAAATATTTAATACAGAGCGTTCAATGTAATGGTTTTTGCGTTACTCTTCCACCCAGAGAGCGAAGGAACTTCCAGCAAGAGTGTTCGAACTTTGACATACTTAACTTATATCTCCTCAGCAGACATCTAAAGAAGGATAGTTGGGAAATACACGACTTTTGCAACCTAATATTCTTTCGTACAACACGTGTCATTGATCGAAGCGCCCATGCTTCTGAGAAGTAAGACACTTCCAGCAGCTGGCAAACAACGCAAATACCACTGACTAAGGTCTGATCGATGATGTCTCTACCACAGAGGACGCCCAGCCTCTCAGGGTAGGACTGCGCAAGCAATGCGCAGCGCAATGCGCGGTGCGCAAAGCAGTGCGTGCGCCGCGCAATGAGCTGGCCTTAACGCGCAGCGCACGCCCTGTGCCTAGGACCGCCTCCACCAAGGGGGTTCCGCTTTGGAGACGCGCGCCTCACGCTGACCTGAGCGCGACCCGCGCGGCCAGGCCGCTGGCCAGCCAAGCCGCAGGAGCAAACACCGCGGCAGCGGCCGCGAAGAGCCAGCGGCGCCGCCGTAAGCCAGCGGCTGGCGCCTTCGTTCAGCGCATGCGAGGACAACACCACGCCAGAGAAGAGAAAAGCGGTGGTCGCCGCCAACGGAGCACCGTGCGTGGGCGCATAAGGCCCCTGCGCAGACGAGACTGAGCGAGAATCAGATTACGGGCAAAGGAAAAATGCGGGCGAAAGTGCCCCCGGTGCATTGCCATTCACAACACAAGAAGTGAATAGACGGTAATGGCCACATACTCAAGGGCAAGGGCAGCTGGGCCCGCGAATCAAGTCTCACGCAATTCGCAACGTTCTAGGGAGAAAACCACGTCGTCCATCGTCACGTTCGACAGCAAGGGCGCGTGCCCAGAGTCCTCCCAGGGGTCCAGCCCGCTCCCAGGTCGTGCGGCGAGCCCCAAGTCCCCCCGCGCCCGCCCCGGCGCCCTCCGAGCAGGGGCAACCCCACACGAGCGAGGCGGGCCCTCACGCGGGGCCGCAACCGCCGCGTGGAGACAGGCCCTGCTGACACCGCAGCGATCGCCGGCCGGGGACGTCCGACCGCCGTCAGCCGGCGAGAGGCCGGCTCCGAGCGGCGGCCGGCGGCGGGTCGGGCCAGTGCCGCCCCCCCCCCCCCCCTCCCGTCACGACATCACGGCTGGGGGGCGAAAACCCCGGCTACCACGGACGGGACGGGGGGCTACCGACGCACCGGACGGGCAGCTGACAGGGGCAGCGTCACAGCACAGGGCACTCGCCGGCAGCCACGCCGGCGAGGTCACGGTCATCACAGGTCAACGGTCACACAGAGGTCAGCCGACTGGACACGACTGTCGGCCACGATCGCAGCCGACACAGAGCGAGGGGCCACGGCAAATGTCAGGGGGGGGGGGGGGGGCAAGCGGCCGACCAAGCAGTGGGACAGGCAGAACAGAGACAGGACAGAGACAAAGACAGAGCCAGAGATAGAGACAGAGACCGTGAGAGAGGGGCGTTGGGACAGACAGAGCGGGACGCTGGGCGGGCAGTACTCACGATGCGCGGCTTGAACGGCGGCTGCACCTCCCGCGTCTCGATCTTCTCCCAGTCGATCCGGCGGAAGAAGGGGTGGTCCCTGATGTCGGCCTCCCCCCGTCGGCGAGCATCCCAGCCGCTTGGCTGGCTGCTTCGTCAGCAGCTGGCGACAGCGGAGGTCGGCAGCAGTCAGCGGGGGCCTGGATCATCACTGGCAGCAGGTTGTCGGAAGGAACTGGGTTCGCCGGCGGAGAACCGGGTCATGAGTACGCATAAAAATCGTCAGCAATAGCTTCAGCGTGGTTAGGGGTCAGGGGTCAGGGTTCAGGGTTCAGGGGTCAGGGTTCAGGGGTCCTGGGTCATAGGTGAACGGCCAGGGTGGCCAGCAGCGGCCAAAGGCATCAGCAGGGGGCCGAGTCGCCGGTAGCGAGGAAGTTGTCAGTATCGGAGGAATTCGTCAGTGGGGACTGGGGTCGTCGGTAGGGACCAGGGTCGCCAGCAAGGTCGTCAGTAATGAACGGGCGTGCTCATTAGCAGCAGCCGGGCAGTGTCGTTAGCGATACGTTTATTAGAGAACACCGGTGTCATCCGTCGGACACGACGATGGATCGACGGTGGGCACATTCTTCATCGTTACCAGGGCCAGGTCAGCACAACCCTACCCCCCCCCCCCCCCCAACACACTGAAATCGAGGTTCGCTAAGCGTACCCGAAGCTTAAAAAACAAGCAAGGAGAATTAAGTGCCCGAAAAACACATTAAATACACCGCACGACAGAGCGGAAGCCAACACTCGCCCCGGACCGCGACAATGACAAAGGGCTCTGCCATTGCAATAGCAGACTTCGCGACCCAGGGGACGCGTCAACGACTACATCACACAGCGCCCCCGGACGGGCCATTGACCGAACATTCACGACCGCGGACAGCTAAACGCTAACACATGACCCACGTGGGACGGCAGCCGGCTGGCCGACAAAGAGAAACGCGCGGCCGGGCCGAATGATCCAATGTAATGGCGCACGAGTACGAGCCGTACGGAATGAACGAATCGAAATAGAAGCAAGACCATTTCCAGCGCAATCGACGGCCATCTAGCACTCAGGTGTCAAGTGCCCCTGCAATGTCAAAAATGACGCACGGCATCGTTCGGTCTTGAGGCGATATGGCGGCCGACGAACGTCAGCAGCCGGTCAAATGGCACGCCACGTAGCTTCTCCGGACGTACGTACCCCCTTGCAGAGCTCCTTGGCCTCCTTGCTGATGCACTTGGGGTAGGAGACGTTGTGGTCCTTGATAGCGGCGAAGAGCTCCTCCTCGTCTTCGCCGTCAAAGGGAGGCTGGCCGACCAGCATCTCGTACAGCAGGACCCCCGTACGCCCCACCAGTCCACCGACTTCCCGTACGGCTGGTACAGAATTATCTGCAGCGTAGGATTAGAACGTGGTGAAGGGCCGTCCAAAACGCAGGAACTGGATGGCACCGAGGCCATCCAAAACACCAGGGTCAGAAAAGGCCACGCCTCACCATTACCTAAGGCCATTATCTGAATCATAGTTCCTGGAGGCCTTGCAGCACCAATTATCTAAGGCAGGAGTCCAAAATGGTAGTGACTTATCTGCAACACGTGAATCAAGGCCAGCCACGAGGCCCCTGTCGCACTGAACCATCAACCGGCCCTGATTCGCGGGCAGCGGGCTTCTACATCACATCTCACAGTCTCCAGCCGTATCTGCTACACGGCTCTTCCTCACATAGTGCCCCACGTAATGGGCCGGTCGGCGGCGTCGGAGACATCTCCAGAGACGTCGGCTGCTGGCCGCCGCCAGCCATCCGAGCAGAGCCTTTAACCCGACCCGTTCGGCACGGCCGGCGACGTGGGAGGTGCGTGGGCCCCGCCCGCCGGAAATGCAACGGGAGTTCCCCGACCGGCGCCGGCCGGCACCACGCTCCTGCCAAGCTCCAGGCTCCAGGGGCCGGCGCTCGAGTAACGAGCGCACCGGACGCCCACGGCAGACGGTGGAGCGTCAAAATGTCCGCGGGGGAGGGGCAACCAGGCCTGGTCGAAACGCGCACTCGAGAGGTAATGTGCGCACCGCAGACCCACACAGACCCACGTAATCTGTGGGAGTGAACTTTCGGTCTATTGCTCCCCCAAAAAATTAGAACAAGGGGCGCCACGGACGCTGTCCCACATCGCGCGAAATGAGTCGAGTGTCCAGCATGACACGTGAATTCAGCTAGTGACCATGCAGCGCAAACGGGCTTCACAATATCTATTCGATATATCATATATATATATATATATATATATATATATATATATATAATATATATATCTCTCTCTCTCTCTCTCTCTCTCTCTCTCTCTCTCTCTCTCTCTCTCTCTCCCCTCTCTCCCCTCTCCTCTCCGTGTGTGTGTGTGTGTGTGTGGTGTGTGTGTGTGTGTGTGTGTGTGTGTGTGTGTGTGTGTGGTGTGTGTGGTGTGTGTGGTGTGTGTGTGTGTGTGTGTGTGTGTGTGTGTGTGTGTGGGTGTGTGTGTGTGTGTGTGTGTGTGTGTGGGTGTGTTGTGTGTGTGTGTGTGGTGTGTGTGTGTGGGTGTGTGTGTGTGTTTGTGTGTGTGTGTGGTGTGTGTGTGTGTGTGTGTGTGGGTGTGTGTGTGTGGTGTGTGTGGTGTGTGTGTGTGTGTGTGTGTGTGTGTGTGTGTGTGTGTGTGTGTGTGTGCACACAAATTAGTAAGTATATATATATATATATTATATATATATATATATATATACACTTAATAAGGGTGGCGGGGGCACGTGCCCCTGCGCGCCACGATGCGCGTAGGCGCCTACTGTGGCGTGCTCTAGAACACACACGCCGGGGCACGCACACTCCATACGAAAAAGAACGGGACTGCGAGAACGGAGTACGGAGCACTCCGCAGCGCAGAGTGCTCCGGAAGTGCTCCAGCGCGGCGAAGCGCTGACCTCCGGGGCGATGTAGTCGGGCGTGCCGCAGAACGTCTTGGTCGTCTTGCTGCCCTCGATGCCCTCCTTGCACATGCCGAAAGTCGGCGATCTGCGGCGAGGAACCGACGACGGTAACGGGATCGCGGCTGGCGGAGCAGTATGCGGCTGAGACAGGCGCGACACGCAGCAAAGATCCCAAAGATCCCGAGATCCAAAGATGCATCCAAATACGGTCGTGGCGTAACGACGTTGTTACTTGTGATGACGCGCTGATGCTAAGATGTTGTTATGACCGCAGCACGAAACGATGTTCCACGCCTGAAGCGTTGCTCGCGATTGTTATACGTGGACCGCTTCTCTGACGCTACGGGTGTAGGGTTGGCATAGAGCCAAAAATTGTCTTTCTCAAATAGTTCATGAGATGCTTTAATGCCTTAATGCGAGAGCTCAATGCGGGAGCTTCTTAATTCAGTATTTCATCCATTTCGGGGACACTTTACCATCCCATGTGCTTCAGAAATAAGTTATTTTCTTGGCTCACAGCCAACAGATCCACACCAACCGACAGACCACATTCTTGGAATGCGCCGCTGAAGACTCGCGCACGTTCAAAGAGAGGATGTGCCCACACATCGGGTAATGTTCTACTTCCCAATCGCAACAAGCCGTCTCCGCTCCCGACGCGGCAACTCCCAACTTCTCGCAGTCCATCTCCGAGCGCCAACTGGCGCACCAAACCGACCCAACTGCACTGAAAGCAACCCGTACCAAACTGACCCAACTTCACTGAAGGCTGCCATACCAACTGACCCAACTCCACTGAAAGCAGCCGTGCCAAACTGACTCAACTCCACCGAAGGCTGCCGTACCAAACTGACCCAACTCCACCGAGAGCCCAGGTCTCGTTTTGCGAGCCGGCATCGAACAGTCGAGAAAACTCACTAGGCGTAATCTGAGTCTCCTCGCCACTTGTGGCGAGTTACAAACCGCCATTCAACTCCTAACGAGTCCAACAAAAGCGAGCTTCTCAGCACTGGAGCCCTGCGCACGGCAGCCCTCCGGAGCCCTCGGCTCCGAGGAGGCGGCCAGGCACTGCGGCGAGCTCACCACAAGCTCGGGGCCTGGGATCAATGCCAGCTGGGATTTTCCCGCCTGTTGCTGACCAGCTGTGCTGCGGGCGTGCCAGGTTATGGCACACTAAGTTATGACCGTGCTGGGAACGTGGCCGACGTTGGGAGCGTTGACGAGCACCGCCGTACGAGTGGTTGGCAGCACATTATATCGTGATTCGGACGTGCTGAAGCTGGTCTTGGGGCGCCGCGCAATCCTTTGAAGTTTGGCTTTAATTGCGACGAGAATTCCCCAGTAAAGTAAAGAAAAGACGGGACTGTGACGGAATCTGCCCTGAGAACAAAGAATAGACGGGACTGTGACGGAATCTGCCCTGAGAATAAAGAATAGATGGAATCGTGACGGGATCCGCCCTGAGAACAGAGAATGGACGGGATTGTGACGGGACCTGCCCTGAGAACAAAGAGTGGACGGGATTGTGACGGGGATCTGCCCTGAGAACATAGAATGGACGGATTGTGGACGGGATATGCCCTGAGAACAAAGAATGGACGGGATCGTGACGGGAATCTGCCCTGAGAACAAAGAATCGATGGGACTGTAACGGGATCTGCCCTGAGAACAAAGAATGGACGGGATCGTGACGGGATTCTGCCCTGAGAACAAAGAAAGGACGGGATTGTGACGGGATCTGCCCTGAGACAGAGTGGACGGGATTGTGACGGGATCTGTCCTGAAAACAAAGAATGGACGGGACTGTAACGGGATCTGCCCTGAGAACAAAGAATGGACAGGACTGTGACGGGATCAGCCCTGAAAACAAAGAATGGATGGGATCGTGACGGGATCTGCCCTGAAAAAACAAAGAGTGGACGGGATTTTGACGGGATCTGCCCTGAGAACACAGAAAAGACGGGATCGTGACGGGATCAGCCCTGAGAAACAAAAAATGGAAGGGACTGTGACGGGATCTGCCCTGAGAAACAAAAAATGAAACGGGACCGTGAAGGGATCTGCCCCGAGAACAAGTAATGGAGTCAGCAGCTCGCAATCAGCCTCAGCGGCGGCACATGACAGATATAATTCATTCCCGATCTGATCTGCACGGGAGGCTCTGTCCGAGACGTGGCTGCCCATCTGCCAAAGAGAAGTCACCGTCTCGTGGTGATATACGTACACTTGGAGATTCATCTGACATGTCACAGATACGTCACCATCTGTCATGACCTGTATCGGAGTGTCTATCTGCGGGGGCGTTACTTCGTACATTTTCAGGGGGAGGCCCGAACCCCACCCCACTCCCAGTGGTCCTTTGAGACCCCTCAAAGCATATGAGCAAAGGGATTACTCGATTTAATAAATACCGAAAAATTATCTTAACTGCTGGTGTACTAGGTAGTAGGTAACGAAACATCACAATGAGCATGATGTTGATTGTAAATAAAACAGTACTAATAGCCCTATTCCTCGTAGAATAACCAGGAGAATGGACAGATAGAAGCAATAATATGGCGGCTACATGTCTTTATCGAAACGAACATCCGTAGTTAATTATAATTGCCTGCCGATCCCACTCCATTTTCAGTCTCTTTTCAGACAGCGAGCCACGGTTTTACAGGTCAGCAAAATGCAGAGATTTAACAAAGAGCAATTGCCAGCCATTATCACGATTCAGATCCAACTAAGAATTAAACTATGCGGAAAACGCGCGCACATACAAACGAACTTAACTAAACAGACATCGAACATCATTCATACCTGTTAACGTTTTCGAGTAAACAAACATCACACATCACGCATCACTTATACACACAAAAGATTGCAATTCAACAGGCAGCGCGCATCACGCGTCAGACATCACTCAAACATGTAAGCGATTTTAAGCTAGCACGCATCACACATCAAGGCACTAATCACATCCGCATGATCAGGCATGAAGAACCCTGTATGTTAAGGTCTCGTCGCCAGCTTCTTATGAGTAAGCATTCCCTTATTTCCTTTTCGGATGGTCCCATGCTATGCGGATGACTTTGAGCTCTAAAAGGGGGCATAGGATTCCCACCTTCGTAGATTTCAGCTTGAGTGCGTTCTGTCAAAAATAGTCGCCGAAAGGGGTATTCGCTGCTTTGCTTTTCGCGTCTCGTTCATTATATCGGATGTTCATTACATCACAAACGAGAAGGGCGCATGGACTGCTTTTCATAAAAAGGCAGCTCAGATGGGCTTGAAATGGGGGGGGGGGGGTCACCCCTCTATAGGAAAATAATTCTGGATGCACGGAATATTGGAACGATTTTAAATTAACGACATCCAGAACGCAAATCAAGTGGTCAAAATCCGAATAAATCACGTTTTGGGGTAGGTTGGACCAACTTTGGGGCCGAGCTCACCAACCAATCTGAGAAAACACTTCTGTCCACATGACAGAAAACAGTAGTTATCTCATCTCATCTCATCTACTTCCAATGGCTCCAAGGCACTGAGCCATCCCATGCGCCAGATGGTCCCCAGATCCAATGCTCTCACGCTGCGCTCTGGCGAACACCATCCGCCAGCAGAAGATCGGTCCAACATCAAGCGGCGAAAGGCCTTCGTCCTGCTGTAGTAACGGATGCGAGCAGATGAGCGAGACATTTCTCGCCCGGCCCTTTTTCGGCGTGGGCGCTGGTGCAGAAAAAGCGCGAGACAAAAAGGCCGCCGGCCGAAAAACGGCGCATTCTCTGTGATCAGCCGAGCATGTCTGGCTCGGACTCGTCTGTTTTTCTCGCCGTCACGCCGTGAGCGGCGGTGACATTTTCTCTGTCCCATTGACGTCAGCGACCCACTCTTGTAACGTCGGACAGGCTGGCTGGTTGGTTCCAGGCTGGCTGGTTGGTTCCAGGCTGGCTGGTTGGTTCCAGGCTGGCTGGTTGGTTATATATATATATATATATATATATATATATATATATATATATATATATATATTAGCATGACTCTTTACACGCCGAACCTTGCCATATCGACGAGCTGTGTGAGCGGAAGTGGGTATGACAGGTGGGGCTTCGGATTAATTACAAACGTCACTGCGCTTACATTCCTCATTTTGTCCACAATCTCCGTCCGAACACATTCATTTCCGAAGCGATACCTTCCTGATAGTTGGATCTGATAGCGTAACGTAGCATAGCACAACGCCGCGTCCATCAGCAGCGAGAGCGATAACGCCGCGAGCCTCGCGCAGACCGCGCCAATGGTCGTCACGCACACCGTTTATCGCCGCGCGCTGCCAGCCGGCCGGATCGGGGGGGGGGGGGGGGCAGCACATTACGGAGGGCATGACACGGCAGTAACGGCGCCGACGATGGTGCTCGGCGGTAATGACGTTGGCGTCGGCATCGGCTGACCCTGGCGGGCTGCCGGTGGCCGAGCGGCGTCCAGGTACGCCGCCGACCATCCCGGGCATGGCTCGAGGGTGAGGATGAACGCAGACAGCAGCTGTGTGCCGCACGGACCAGTAAGTGTGCTTGGGTAGCAATGAAAAGTGGCGGCGTCTTACAGCTGAAGTTTCCGATGAATTTTTGACGGTGGCACCGGTTACTTCATATTATGCGGCTTCACACAAGCTTGCCCGATTATGGGTTATTTTCTTAGACCATGTGTGACGGTGCACTTGTGCGTGAACCCAATTAGCAGAGTCGTATTACATCTGACTGACAAAGGCAACGTCGGTAATGAAATCAGTTCTTTTGCATAATAAATTCGAATCTACCACAACGTCAGCAAAGTTGTCTTCCGTTCACCCTGACTAAATCAGGCAGGATCAGGATGTTTGGATCCCAATTCACGCCGGATTCAATAAATTCAGCCGTTCTTCCATTCAAAGAATGGTCCCCGCGAAAACATTCAGAAAATTCCGAACAGGATATCATTGACAATGGCCAAATATCAAATCAAAATAATCAAATATCAAAATTAATTTAATATTAATTATTAATTTAAATTAAATAGTAATAATCAAATATCAAAACAGTGTACGGGTGGTGTCATTGACCTGTCAAAGAAGCAAATGGTAGTGAGCAATGATGCTTGCTTTAATGAACGTGACGTCATACGTGTCGACGCTACCAGCACCAGCAGCGCGGCCACTTCACGCTGTGAAAAAAGTCCAAGCCGCTTGTTACATCTGAAGCAAAATCCAGCTTTCAACCTCAGGTTACCTACGAGCTTTAGCTTCCCCTGCAAACAGATTTTCAAATGCACGCAAATATTTGGCTTGGACGTGTTATCTACCAAACGGCAGTGACAAGCGGCGATGAACCGAGTTTGAGTTTGTGAGGGGTTGCATTATGTTCGGAAGAAAGAAAAAACCTACACCTAGTAGGTGCCCTCGAAGCAAAGGCTTGCAGTTCCTTCCTGCTCGTTTGAAATGTCTTAAATACAAATATTGGTATGCGTTCCGGCACCTTCGTTTTTCCTACAATCATGCCAGAAACCTTCCGCAGACTATAGTGTTGTACCAACTGCTCCACATAATAATCACTTCGGTGAAATTCGTGTGGCACATGTTGACACGACGGGCTAACACGCTCTGACACAATGGACTGACACACACTGACATGGTTGACTGATACATCGACACACTGACACAAGGGACTGGCACACATTAACACAGTGGACCAGCACACCCTGACACGGTGGGCCGGCACACACTGACATGGTGAAGTGATACAAATTGACACACTGACACAGTGGACCGACACACACTGACACGGTGAATCGACACACCCTAACACGGTGGACCGGCGCACATCGACACTCTGGACTGACAGACACTGCCACGGTGGCGCCGCAGACGACGTAAAAAGCCGCCTTCCGCCGCCCGCGGGCGCTAAATGTGTCGTCCCATTCCCGAAACGTTCGTCAACCCTGACAGAACCACCGCCCATAAAGACAGCGACGGCGACAGATTTATCAGCGTGCCCGTCCGCGGCGACACTCGCCCAGTCCGGCCGGCGCGGATCGTGCCCGCCGCTGCAGAGATGAGTGAGATTTCCATCGAAGCAGCGCCCGGGGCAGCCGCGGCACGGTCGCGCCGCCGGCGCTGGATTGAACCCCCCTCCCCCCCCCCCTCACGGCCCAGATCCGCCTCGGCCAGGAGACGCGTAGAGAGCACATCGTGGCGTGCCCGCTTTTTGGGGTAGTTGGCTCAGGCAGCTACGGCGCAGGAAACGCAGACGAGTGCGATAAAGCAGAGGAAGATAAAAGAAACGTGCGACGACTGGCGCGGGCCAGGCCC